TTACCTTTTCTTTCTTTCTTTTCTCCTCTTAGTTTTTTTTTTCTTCATTTCTCGTCTATTTATCCCACCCTTTTTCTCTGTTTTTATCTTCTAATTCCTTTTATTTATCTTTTTTTCTTTTCCTCTTCGTCTTTTTTTTTCATTTTCCTGCATTTTGTCTCCTTCATCTCCGCTTTCTCTTTTTTCTATCCTCTTTCCACTTCGCTTTAATTCATTTGCTCTTTCTTTTACTTCCTTTCCTATATATCCTCGTTTTCTCCTTTTTCTCTTCTTTTCTTTCTTTCTTTTCCCTGTTTTATCTTTACAATCTGCTCCCTTTTCCCTTCTACTGTTCGGTCGAATTTTTTATTCATCTGTTGCAGTTTCTCTTCCATTTTTTCTCTATTAATCTCATTCGCTTCTGGAGAATTTAATGTTCTGGGACCAAATATCATCTTGGTCGTTTTTTCTCCTTCGTTCGCTCTCTCCTTCTTCTCCCTCCCTTCCCTCTTTCCCTTCCTCTCCCATCCCTATCTTTCCCTACCTCTACAATCCCTAAGATCCCTCTATCGCACTCTGTCCCTCTTCCTCTCTTTTCCTTCTCCTTTTTCCCTCTCTCCCTCTCCCTCTCCTCCCTCCTCCCTCTTCCTCCCTCTCCTTCCTCCTGCCTCTCTCCTTCCTCTCTCTCCTTCTTCCTCCCTCTCTCCCTCTCCTTCCTCCTCCCTCTCTCCTTGCTCTCTCTCCTTCTTCCTGCCTCTCTCACTCTCCTTCCTCCTCCCTCTCTCCCTCTCCTTCCTCCTCCATCTCTCCCTCTTCTCTCTCTCAGAAGAACAAAAACCCGCGCGCTATTTTTCACGATCTTCTGTCCATCAGCATCTCATAATGGCTGCAAATTTCTCCGCTTTTCTTCGCCTCGCTCTCGTGAATGGAGGAGAAAATGCGTCAAAATGAAAGCATATGCTCCGGGGAGGAAGACGGGGAGAGAGAGAGAGAGAGAGAGAGAGAGAGAGAGAGAGAGAGAGAGAGAGAGAGAGAGAGAGAGAGAGAGAGAGAGAGAGAGAGAAGGAAATTAAGTGATGAGGAGGAAGGAGGGGAAGAGGTAGGGGGTGGGGAGGAGGGGGAGAAGGAGAGGGCAACGATGGGGGAAGGATGGGAGAAGAGGGAGGAGAGAGGAGGAGGAGGAAGATAAGGAGGAGGAAGAGAAGGAGGAGGAGGAAGAGGAGGAGGAGAAAGAGGAGGAAGAGGAGGAGCAGGAAGAGGCGAAGGAGGAAGAGGAGGAAGACGAGGAGGAGGAAGAGGAAAAGGAGGAGGAGGAGAAAGAGGAGGAAGAGGAGTAAGAGGCGAAGGAGGAAGAGGAAGAGGAAGACGAGGAGGAGGAGGAGGTGAAAGAAGATGAAAACGAAGAAAAAGAAGAAAAAAAAGAGATCAATGCCCCCCCAAAAATAATAATAATAATAATAATAATACAAAAATAAATAAAGAGAAGAAAAAGGAGATACCCGCTTCTTACATCTCCCGGAGCCCAGATACACTTCCCTCTCTCTCCGCCCCGAAGATTGGAAATCCTCATCAGTTTCCGATACGCAATCATTACGAATCAGAAAACGGTTTCCACGTTAATCCTCGCTCCGGTCCCGCTGCTTGCCTCAAATCGTTCCCCTGCTTCCTGCTTCCCTGCTTCCCTGCTTCCTGCTTCCCTGCTTCCCTGCTTCCTGCTTCCCTGCTTCCCTGCTTCCTGCTTCCCTGCTTCCCTGCTTCCTGCTTCCCTGCTTCCCTGCTTCCTGCTCCTCTTCCCTCTCCCTCGGCGATCTCTTGGCTCCCCCCACCCCCCCCTCGCTCCTACCTTGACACTTGGGGGCTTCGCTGGCAGGCTCCTTCGGTGTCCCTGCTTCCTTCCTGCGTTCTTTCCCCCTTCTTTTCCTTTCGTTCGGTTGTTCCTTTCATTTTTTTCCATCCCCATAGACCTACTTACTTACCTACCTACCTACCTACCTACCTATCTATCTATCTACCTACCTATCTACCTCCCTCCCTCCCTACTTCCTTTCTTCCCTTCCTCCTTCTCTCCTACTTGTCTGTCATACTATCCTTCCTTTCTTCCCTCCTTAACTCCCCCCCCTCCACACACACACAACCGGTTTGCCCCCCTCTCCCTCTATCTTCCTCCCACCATCCCTTCCTCTCTCTCTTCCTTCCTTCCTTCGCTCTCTCTTTTCTCTCCTCACTCTCTCTCCTATTGTCTCCCCCTCTCTCCTTTCTCCCTTTTCTTCATGCCTTCTTCCTCCCTCCCTACCTTCCTTCCTTCTTTCCTTCTCTCTTCCCTCCTTCCTTCCTCCCTCCCTTCCTTCCCTCTTCCCTCCTTCCTTCCTCTCCCTACCTTTCTTCCTCCTTTCCTTCCCTTCTTCCTTCCAACCTTCCTTCCTCCCTCTTTCCTTCCCTCTTCCCTCCTTCCTTCTCTCTTCCCTCCATCCTTCCTCCCCCCTTCCCTCCCTTGGACTCGCCGCCATCCATCACTTAACGAGCCTCATTAAGCAAGGCACAAACCTCGCAGTATCGTCTTTAACGTTCGTTTCCCTCTCTCGTTTACTTCCATTAGCTTTCTCCTTAACCCTTCTCACCTGTCTCCTTCTCACCTCTCGCACTCTCTTCCTTTTCTTCTTCTCATTCTTACTCTGTCTCGGTTTTTTTTTTTCTCCCTCATTCCTCTCTTCTTTTTTCTCTCCTTTCTCCTCTCTCTCCCTCTTTCCCTTCCTCTCTCTCTCTCTCTCTCTCTCTCTCTCCCTCTCCCTCTCCCTCTCACTCTCACTCTCCCTCTCACTCTCACTCTCACTCTCCCTCTTCCTCTCCCTCTCTTTCCACCCTCTCACATTTTACAACCCCATTCCAATTACGTCTAATTCATTCACCTTTTCGCTCACACTTCCCTCATTCCCAACCTCCATTCCCAGTCACTCGCGGACACTCACTCGCTAAACGCCCCGCCCTCACCCGCACTTCACACACTGCCTCATAAACCCTCCACCTCATTATTGCACATTTCCCTCATTTTCGGCTCTCTCTCCAGCACATTCTCCAAGCACAGAGAGTAGTTTATCGTCTTCTTACTCCCGGCGGGTGAGAGGGAGAGAGGGAGAGAGGGAGAGAGGGAGGGAGGGAGGGAGGGAGGGAGGGAGAGAGGAGAGAGGGAGGGAGGGAGGGAGGGAGGGAGGGAGGGAGGGAGGGAGGGAGGGAGAGAGATGGAGAGATGGAGAGAGAGGGAGAGAGAGAGGAAGAATGGGAGAGAAGGATAAAAGGAGAAAGGGAGAGGGAGAGGGAGAGGGAGGGAGAGAGAGAAGAGAGAGAGAGAGAGAGAGAGAGAGAGAGAGAGAGAGAGAGAGAGAGAGTGAGAGAGAGAGAGAGAGAGAGAGAGAGAGAGAGAGAGAGAGAGAGAGAGAGAGAGAGAGAGAGAGAGAGAGATTTAGCCTTCTCTAATGATCATTTATTTCTTAACTAACTTACCGATGGAACCTAAAACCTCTCTTTTCCTTAACCGGGAGACTCCTCTTGAACTTCTCTCTTACGTGTTTGAAACAACTGAACAAATTACAAGCCTTTACGAACAAACTTAAAACCCATCAGGAAAAAAAATCATATTCAAATATTAAGGAAAGAGATATGGTAACACTGCACTTACTTGAGGCACCCCCTGGGCACTGTTCATTACCCCCCCCCATACAGGATGCCATGGCACCCAGTTCGGGAACCAGACAGACACGCAAAACACACACACACACACACACACACACACACACACACACACACACACACACACACACACACACACACAGCCACACCCACACAAACAACACATACACACACACACCCACACACCCAGACCCCTGCACACCCACACCCACACTCCTACAAAACCACAACTTCCTTACCGAGTAGAGCCGACGTCGCCGCACGATGACGGGGAAGTCCCTGACGTCGTCGGCGCCGGGGAAGGGGAAGGGGAAGGCCGTCGCGACGTCTTTGGGCGAGCGGCAGCAGGCACTCGCACTCGCCTTGGGTTCCATGGTGTCTACGCGCGAGTGCAGGGGGGGGGGGAGGTAATTTCTCTCTTCAAAACCCCCTACGCCACTTCCCTTTTTTCACTTTTCTTTATTTCCCTTCTCCGTTTGCGTATTTTTTTTTCCTTTCTTACTTTTCTTTCTTCTTTTTCCTTGTTTTTTGGTTGTTGTTCCGTTTACGAATTTTTCCCTCACTTTCTTTTCCTTTTTTCCTTGTTTTCGTTGTTGTTCCGTTTCCGTATCTTTTTCCCCTTTACTTACTTTCTTTCTTTTTCCTTCGTTTCTTTGTCGTTGTTTGCAAGCGCTATTTATCAAAGCACTGTGCTCCCAATTTCCTCGCTTTCCTCGCTCCTTCGTTAGACTCGCGGGGCCGCCTTATTTATTCACCGGCGCTAAATTGCAAAACCCCACGGCGTGCTTGGACAGGTTGTAATCACAGCAACGGCGAGAGAGCACGCGATTTACAAAGAAAAAAAAATAAAAAGAAAAAAGGAAAAAAGAAAAACACCGATTTTTTTCCTTTATTTATCTTTTTTTTTTTTTTAGAGAGAGAGAGAGCAACTAGGCAACTAGGATGCTTCACTGTCGCCCTAGGATGAGACTAGGGTGCGACGGAAGTCCTTCGGGGCGAGCAGGGGGGGGGGGAGGCCATGGCGTTCGTTCCGACTCGGGGACACGCAGGACGGGGAAATACTCCTTCTTCCTTCTCTTCTATCTCCTCCTCTCTTATCCTTATTTCTTTTCCCTTCTCCTCCTCCACCTCTTCTATCTCCTCCTCCTTTTCTTTTCCTCTTTTTATTTTCTATCCTTACCCCTCTCCCTTCTGCTCCTCCTCCTTCCTTCTCCTTCTCTTCGCCTTCCCTTTACTCCTTCTCTTCCCCTCGCACGCCTCTTCCTCAAGCGTTAGGAAATGGCGGGAGGGAAGGCTGGCCGGTGGAAGCGCCCTCAAGCACGAAGGCAGAAACTGGT